AAGAGTGTCAGTGTGTGTATCTACTCAAGGAATCAAGAGTTCACAGAACGAAACAAGTATCCTTGGTCTTTCTCAAGACGAACACAGAATCATGTGCACATGATCACGGAAGTTGCCACCACCAGAACTGAAGTTTCACATAACTTCCATTCATCCTTCCTCCAGGCAAAGACACCCAAGTTACAGAGATCATTAATCTTGGCAGAGGTAATAGACTTCCAATACAGGGCCCATCTGACTAATTCCTACACTTGGGCAAAGGCAAAACTCTGGAAACCATGGAAATGACTTGCTTTAACAACTTATGGGAAAAAAATCTCCTAACAGAACAAGTAAAACTATAATACAAGCAAGGCTTTAAAAAAAAATTAATTAAAGAAAAAGTGAAGGAAGATAAAAGAAGGATCGGGTGAAAACTCTGCTCATTTTGTTAACAAGGTACAAGCTTATGTTAGTATCTTATGTATCTCTGCCCCTTACATGGGCAGCAGGAGCACAGATGCAAAGCCGAATGAGCAAATGTGAAGCATTCACTCGCACGGAATCAACCAAGGTCCAAAAATAGGTCAGAAAAGCTTACGCAGAGAGGCCAGTTAAATATCTACATAGTCATTTGTAAATTTACATTTACAAAGTGTCATGGAAAGTGCCAGTACAAATCTGCTTATGTGCCAACTTCAAGACATAAATAGGTGTTAACTTTCCAGTAATTTGACTCTGGCAGTCCTTCACTCTGTGACCTAATAAGTTCCCAAGAAAAAGGGTGAAGAAGGAAGAAACATGTAAAGATGTCTAAATCACCTCTTCTTATAAAACTTTATATGTAAACTTTATATGTAAACTCACTCTGACATAAAAAAGGAGGGAGGAATCAGAATTAAACTTGCAGAATACCTATTGCTAACCATAGCCTAACCTCATACCTCAGCAAACTTTCAAAGGGATAAGAGTAAAAAATATTTCAAATTCATACCTGATAAAAATGTGGCCAGAACGTACTGATGGCAAGTTCCGCCTTCACCCATCCTTCCGTAACAATCCCTGACACATTCCATATGGGATTGCCCTGTGGTCCACCGTTCACCTTCACATAGACATTCAGAGAGCCAGGACTGGAACGGTCTCTGCTGGATAAGTAATAGTGGAAGTCGATGCAATGTGTGTCATTTTCCTTCAATGTAGGCAAAAGCAAATGAGCTTTCTGCCCAGATGCCCGTCCAGAGCTGTTTACCATCATGAAGGAGCCTATAGACAGTGAAGGGAAAATGGAAAGAGAAGAAAAAGGGGTTTTTGTTTGCCTCTTTCAACAAGAACACTTCTGTCAGAAACATAAGCGATTCTTCAAAAGCCAGAAAACGAAACATTCGTCTGGAGAACTCAAACTAGCTATTTTATGTTAGTGGTTAGGTAACAAAAAGAAAGGATATTAAAATTACAGGGTAGAGATACAAACAGATTCAAGGCCAACTACTGCTGCCATAATTAGGTAATTTAAAAATCAAATTAAAAAAAATCTGCTTTGCTTGTATTAATTTTATAACCTTATAATAAAACAGTCACTCTAAACAAAAGCACATCCACAGTTAAAGCAGCAGCACAGCTCCCCTAGCGCATAACCACGTACCTCCTTTCCCAATGGCACATTCAAAATGGAAGACTACAACAACAGACCAAACCCTCAGCCGGTGAGAGTCTACATGGCACTTACCTACCTCATGCCAATCTACGTTTGCTAACCCTGCATCTTGGCTCCACAAGCTTCTGAAGGGTGCAATGCATTAACAAAATCTCAATTTGCAGAGGCCAGATGAATGAGACTTGTTAGCAACATCTCAACGTGAAACGATGCAATAAAGACAATTACAGTTCTGGGAGGGAAGGACAGGCTGAACTGAGGTAGGGAAGTACATATTGAAGCAATTCATGAGTTTGTTAACCCTGAAGCTTGCATCGTATTAACCACAGCACTGGATGTTGAACTCATGTTTGGATTCATCAGGCAGTTATTTTGCAGCACATTGTGTCTCGACTCATCTCTTCGCAGATACATCAAGGTGACAAATGTTAGCAATAAGGAAAAACATTATGAGAGCTATTTGATTCAATTCTGTTTAAAGAATCTGCTTTATGTGTGTGCAGACACCCACAGAAAAAGCTGAAGGAAATACTGAGGGTTGGGGGTGGGGGAAGGGAAGCTGTGTGTCAGTAGCCAGGCATGATAATTTTTAAACAAATGCAGCCTTCCTGACATTTGTCAGTTCTGATGCTGCTGCCGCCAAGTCACGCTACCAACGTATTTCTCTGCTGCCCTCTTGCAGTTCACAGAAGACTGAGTTTGAAAAGCCTTACCCCACTTCTAACCTATGGACGTTCCCTATTCCATGTTGCAGTAGCGAAGCAGACTCTCAGATGAGCCAGATCAAACTTTTGATCAGTTCTGTGCAGTGAAAAGCCATATATTCTCAATTTGTACCAACAGATACAAATCTATTTTTTCCCGTGTTTATACGATATATATGCATTTCGTAAAGGATTGGGAAGCATGGATGCAGAAGGAAGTCAATCTCTCATAAAAAGTCAAATACTCTAGAGACCTCGGAAAATTCAAGCCCAATGCAAGCACAGCTGCAGAACAAGCTTTACTAAGCAAGACGAAAAGCTACAGGCAAGATGCTCTCGGGCAATTCTATCTTTCATCTTGGTATGCTGAAAATCAAAATGGCCCCAAATCAAGAAACAGCAAGCACTTTGAGAAACTTAACAGTGGAATCCAAACTTTCCAATTTCTCTCTAATAATCAAAGTCCAAAAGGGAGGATTTAGTTAAATACTGCCTGTTGATCTAATTCTGCTCCCAGTCAACCATAAATCCCCTTCTTCAATTAAATGAGAGAAGCTTTAACAGAGTACTCTATGCACACTTTTTTTTTTTAAAAAAAAACCCACCCAAATAAACTAAAATTTGAGAAACTGAGATTTAGATTCGGTTTCTACGGCCTAGGATAACTTATCATCAGAAAGCACAACCACCAACAGGCTGGAAGAGGCAGCATGGCCCGGTGGCTACGGCAGCAGGCTGGATGGCCTGTTTTCTAAGACTAAAGATGACACACGTTTCCATGATCTTTGACAGTACGTGTAGTTTGCCTCGTTTTCCTTCATAAATGAAGCAAAAATGATACTACACTCCTACTAAAGATCTAGGAGGAAAGGCACTATATAAATGCTAAGTAATAGCAGTAGATTTTTCCTATGGGTGAGTATAGCAATTGCTACGAAATGCACTGCCTGCAGCATTTTAATGACATTTAGAGAAATAATACAACATAGGATGAAGATAACTTGCACATTTGCCAGATCGCAGGCTCAAGGACAAAGACACAGCCAATTAAATTACTCAGTAAAGAAAAACAGAGCTTTTGTGCATCCACAGACTTTTGACCGAGTGACCGCAACGGTGGGTAGAAACACAAGAAAATTGGTTTCTGCTCCATTGTTGACTGGATCAGGGGCAAGTCACGTTGCTTCTGGGTGTCCTTCATCTCTCTTTTATATTTAGACTATAAAAGGACTCTTACCCTAAAGAGTTACTCCAAAGCTGTACTGTGTCTAACACAATAGGGTCTTGAACTGCAATGGGATAGACAAGTGTTTCAGTGATACACTCGATAGAAAAAGTTAAGAAGTATTTCACTTTCACAGATTCATGTATAAAAATAATGAGTTTTCTTCTGGGAGAAAAATATCAGCTTTATATAAAGTTCAAAGCAATAATTACACTCTTATTTTTTGCCACCCACAAAAAAATGAATCATAAGCTATTCGTGGTATGACAATGGCCTTTTGTGCAACTGCTGAGCATCTAGAAAGAGTAAGGAGCTGGCTTCTAGTGACTGACACAACAGGAGCACACAAAATACCTGTGCATCAAACATCACTTCACAAAATAATTACATTACAGTCTTATTTTACTGAAAGAATAACCTTACAAACTTGTTAATTGCCGTATTCAGATTATACATCGTTTTTTAAAATTTATGATTTTTTTTAACATAGTAAGCCCAGAGATACAGGAGAAAACAACTTAACTGTCTGCAGTTAAACCCTGGTAAGACGTATTATTTTATGCAACAGAGGAAAACTTGAGAAATTACCACTTACAGTGCCATATCCAGTGGAGAAAGGCACTCACACCTTGGTTAAATCAGTTTATCATCTAGCCCTGTACCATATTCCTTACTTTCACAGAGGCTTCATATGGCAGCTTCCCCAAAAAACGTCTTCCCAGGCCCATCAAGACATAGCCAGCATTAGCAGTGGGTATAAATGTACAGGTTTATAGTTGATAAAGGATACAAGAATATATCTGTCTACAAAATGTAGTTGTTGCTAATAAATTATACCCTGTACACTACACACAGGCTTCCAAAATAGACCCAGTTGGACAAGTTTTTCATTTTTCTCTTCCCAGCGTGAACTCAGTTGAATATCCCTTCCCTCATGCACTTGGATCATCAAAAGGCTGCCCTGCATGCTCCGAGATCAACAAGCAAGACCCACCAAACGGGCTTCGCTGTCCTCTTATAAATGCCCATACACAGCGAAGCTCGTCTGGGCAGGATACAGCACTTAGTGGTAGGTCTGACATCATAAACCTTGTTCTCACCAGAAAAAATTAAATGCAAAAAAGCCTTTTAAGGACCTCAGTATTTTTTCCTTATTAGCTTTAATAAAAACTGGTGTGTTGCGATTCACATTTTGACAGCCTTCTTTAGATTGAATGCAAAATTGAAGCTGATGAGACCTACTCTCAATTTATAGGCCTATATGTGTAAATAAAATTTGGTTTGGCACCAACAAACAACTTGTCACATTTTCCGCTCCCATATAAAGAACTAGCGAATGAATGAACATGTTACAAACGAAAATTATTGATCAATGCATGACTGAAAGCCTCTTAAATGTCTCCAGGCAGGAATCTGAACAAAACAAAAGGTTATCTTGAACAAACTCTTTTATTTAGACCACCACATATTTGATTTTGAAAAATGATAATAATAAAAATCATTAGCCTTGTTGTTTTGTTTACCTTCATCGTGAAAGTTCAAATGTCATAAAATAGACATTGAACTAAAAAAAGAGCTTGGGGGAGAAAATTTAACTGTGTTGTGCAAAATCTGGACTTCAGATTTATTGGACACAGAAGTATATGCTTGTTAAAGCAGAATGAATACCAGGTCAATTTAATTTAGTGCTCTTGGATCAACAGGTTAGATTAATTAATATCCTGCTGGTTTTGCCAGCTTCCTGAAGAACCAAAAATAAACCTGTTATGTTCAGATCAGTTAGAAACAAGAAGGAAGGGAAGATGGTAAATAAATTCATTTTTAAAAATCCGTTCAAACGACAGGGAACATAAAATGGCACTCTCTCCTAGTTATTAAACATACCACTGAAAATTGGGGAATTAAACCATGAAGTGCTCTCTAGCTGGCCATAAATTTCAATTTTTCCCCTGCTTGGTGCATAATGATGCCTTGATAAGCCTTCTATTATTGATGCATCTGCAACATATATCCTCTTTTTGGAGCTGAAATGCTACTCTGTAGCAGATGGTGGCTATTGTGTTTACACATCAGCACTTTATGATTGCATTTTCTCACGTCTGCAGTAAAAAGAAAGCCGTAATTGAGTTTTTAATGGCTTTGCACATTGTTCATTAAGATTGCATGAGTGTGTTCTAACAAATGACAGCTGAAGAAATGAGCCACTGAGAACCCCTCGTGATCACCAGACAGACCTCAGTTGATGCTGTTTCACTGCTGGCTTTGAAGAACCGTGCTGTTTAAATGTGAAATTATAGCAACCATTAAAAACTGAATGTAAACTTGAAAAGAATTCTGTTTAAATGCTTGACTGTAAAATGCGACTTCCAAAACTCGAAAAATCAAAATCAAAAATCCCGAGAACGACTGTCAGCAGCCAAAGTGGTATATTCCACTCCAAAGTGTCCTGCTCCTTTTGTTCTTTTGAAAATAGTCACTCTGTCACTGCTGGAAACGATGTGTTGAGGTAGATGGCCTCTTTTCTTATATTATCCTTAAACATCATCTTTCATACTTAGTGCAGATACTTTACATTATCTATGGCATTAAGCTTCTATGGCATTAATATTTACTGAGGATATTATAATTGTCTGCCTTGTTAAAAGACATATAAAAAAGTTGTGTTTGGGAAGCTTACTAG